TTTTACAGGCATTCTTAGCGTGAGTAATCAGAAATATGTGTGTGAGGGACACCACAGCAAAAAGACATAGATAAAAACTAAGTAACTTTATTTTCAGATTGTCTGAAAACTTTGTATTTTACATTTGTATTTCTCTCCTAAAAATTAACTCAATGTGGTCGGAGAAAAGTACAAATTGCAATTTACTGTCAAATTCGTACCATATATAGAATAAAAGAGTGATTTATAGTTTTTTCCCCTCATGTCCCTCCTGCTGTGGAATTGCCCATGCAGCAAAATGTCTTAAATAATCTATATTTCAAACAGTTATTTAAAACACAAGCCATGCATGGCACAGTCCCCGTTAGTTATTAAATTTAAGAAATATAGTTTTCTTTATAGTAATATAGCTGGAATATAACCATGTCAGGAATATGGTTTTTTAACATTAAAATGATTGACATTTGTATCTGATCATCAAACAAGTACTTGTCCATATTTAGAGATATTGCTCTGGAACAGCGTTCAAAATCAGCCATTTTGAATACATGTATATATATCACATGATGTATAACCAATATATAAAATTTGAATATAATCAGTCAAAGCATTTAAGAGTAGGCTCTATAAGCCCAATCATTAAAACAAAATGGCCTCCAGTCAGCCATTTTGAATCCAATCTGAAAAAAATAAATGCCGTGCATCAGGAACCCGTAATGTCTAATGTATGTACCAAGTTTGAACGAAATCCATCCATAAATGCCAGAAATGCTTGATATTTGATGATTTTTTAGCACAAAAATGACCACCGGCCATTTTGAATAGGATTGTCAAACCAATGTAACTGTTTATCTATGACATGATGTATAATGAATATTTAAAGTTTGAACATAATCAGTGAAAGCAAGTCAGAGATATGGCACAAGAACCACATTCAATGAAACAAAATGGCCGCCAGTTGGTCATTTTGAATCTTATCTGAAAAACAAAATTATTTGCATCAAGGTCCCATAATGTCTAATGTATATATCGAGTTTGAAGAAAATTCATTTGTTAGCAGCCGAGAAATGCTTGATTTTTAGGATTTTTCAGCACAAAAATGGCCGCCATTCTGCCATCTTGAATCAGATCATAAAACAAAATTATTTGCATCAAGGTCCCATAATGTCTAATGTATATATCAAGTTTGAGCAAAATTCATTTGTAAACAGCCGAGAAATGCTTGATCTTTAGGATTTTTCAGCACAAAAATGGCCGCCATTCGGCCATCTTGAATCTGAACGTGAAACAAATTGACGTGCATATGTATAATATTATATATGATGTATGTGTGAAGTTTGATTGTGATTGGTCCAGGCATTTCCAAGATACAGGTCGGGACGCATGCACAGACGCACACACGGAGGTCAAAACATAAGTCCCCGTTTTCGGACTGCGTCCGAACGGGGACTTAAAAAAATATTGCAAGGTCATCAAATGAGATAGATATCTAGCATGGGATATCAAAAATATCCAATGGGGTCTATCACATGAAATGGGTATGATGGAATAAAATAAAATCAATATGAGACCGTTCATTGCTGATGAGAATTGAGACCACACAACAGTAGAAACCACCTAAAAATAATACCTGCTATGACTCGTATCTTCATCAGTTCACTATATTGATAACTATCTCCTATAACCAGTAGTTTTGTTATTGGATTTCTTTCATGAAGATTTTGCCAACTATGCATGGGCCATAAGATTTACAAGATAAAAACTTCTTTTGAGATATGCGAAAAAATTCTAAATTTTATGTTCAGCAAACTTTGAGAATATTAGACAATTGCATTATTGGTGTACACATCTAGTAATATTAGTGCAAATACATGATCATGTCACCCCAAATGTCTATTGCGTTTTGTGATGGCAGTGACCAGAATTAGATTCCTTTGATTGCATACATGGAACTTTCACAAAATGGGATTTTCCTTGTATATCAGTTACATTTCCTTATCTTATAAATCCTTAAGTCAAAGTAGAGTGAGAGTTGAAAATAGTCAACTATCTTTGATATAGCATACATTGGGGGATCCTTTTATTAATTTGTGAGCAAAGTTAATGTGAACAGAATAAGTAATTCAGACTTAACTGTGACGTCCCAATCAGGAGGAATAAGTCAGGTCAAGTAAGGTGAGGACATGTAACAGAAAAGGTAGTTCTACCACCCTCAGTTTGTTTTAGGGCTCTTCATAGAATTGTCCTGTATGTATCTTATGTGAAGTTTAAGAAAATGAAATGCTCTTTCTACATGGTTCCCAAGCCACAAAGACTAATTGGAATCAACTTCAGAACCATGTAGAAATGGCATTTCATGTTCAGTGTATCCATGGCGATTTTTGTTGATATATTATTTCAATATTGTTTTTCCGACTATGTTCTAAATAAGATGGGCTAATTATACAAGTTGTCCATTCTTTTATGCGCGTGTGCACCCGGAGAATCACAGAAACTCCTCTGTGTTATGGACTCTCCATTACAGAGTCAATGCAATAAATTAATAACAAGTTACTTTGCATTTTTTTTTTATTATTTGAAACTTCATGATTTTACAAGCATTTATAAAATAAAACTTCCATTATTATCAATTCACAATTTCCAGAATCTCCATCAGTGTCAAAATTAAAAATTACCCAAAGTATTGAAAATTCATTTTACATATATATGTACAAAAGTTTAAGTGCATCGAAAAAAATCACTATCTATGTTTCACCTTGATGATTTGCAAGGTGATTCTATACAGACAATACAAATGAAAATATGAATTTCTAAAATCTTTGAATTATTTCAATAGGCCAGCATTTTAGAATTGCCCAAATCTTAATTTCAAAAATCATTGAAAATGACATAGTCCCTGCTAGTAATTATTCAAAATGATCTCTTTTGAGCTAAACACCAGATATCCAGATTAAAGAGTAGCATGATGATATGTCGGCCATCTTGAACTAAATCATGAAACAAATGCACATGTATATGATGTAAAGCATGAATGGAATCGTCCCAGGCATGTCTGAGATATAATTTTAATTTCCTTGTCAAAGTTTTATGTTTTCACTAGTTATACTGATCAAAACCAAATTTAGCAATTTAACAAATAAGATATTATTGTCTTGACTACAATAAATCTCATGCATCTGCATGCAGTAAAATAGTCGTCCTATAAATTCATAAACATTTCAGACCAATCTTAATAGAAAATACTTGACATTGAGTATTTATTTTGTGATATCTTCGCGAGTCAATTCAGCTGACACCCTAAAATTGCTTGGTGACAGCCTAGGATAATGAGAAGTGCTTGGTGACACCCTGGAATACTGAAAAGTGCCACTGATGCAACTTTTAAAGTGACTCGATAGCAATTTAATTGTATTTGCAGTAAAAGTTACTGTTAGAGGAAAACTGCTGGAGAGACAAACTGTAAAAATTATGAATTATGTAGCAGTGAAAATTTCTCTGAGGTACAGCGAGTGTCAGCGCCACGCCACAACTGCCACAAAAATTCTGAAAATTCCAAGCTGCGAAAATTAATCGGTTTACAGGATACAAATCATGGGTAATCTATTAAACATGTCATTTACACGAACACTTCTATTTCTGATGAAGTAAACAATGTCCAGCTGAGAACATTTATTTTTCTATTATACTTGGTTATCTTGCTAGTAACTATCGGTACTAAGTCCTGGATTCAATAACAGACTGGTTATTATTATATCCTCAGCCAGGTTATAAGGGCATTCATGGACATATTAAGTTATTACTCCGTTGGCCCTGAACATGTATAATGTATATGTACACTGTAAAGATAAACACATCTTCAAAAATTCACTTAAATATAGAAACACTTCACAACTAGGATATTACTATTATTTTTTTTTGTACAAAAAGTTGAACACAAACTAGTACTGTTATTAACAGAGCAGTGTGGTCTGACTTTAGAAACTGTAACATTTTATTTTTTTCACTTAGTTTTGAGATAGATTTTATTATTTTTATGATGGTATAAATGTGAGAGTATATAATACTATAAACTACTCCTGAGCAGCTCAATTTTCAAAGTTAAATTCTTAACAGATGACTACAATGTACTTAAAATGTTATGCAGCAATACATTCATAAGAAAGCAAATATTAAGAACTGCCACAAATTGCAGGAAAATAGTGGCAGTATGAGACTTAGTGGTTCTGTTACCATGGCAACTGTGGATTACCTAATAAGTGCACTAGCTATATATAGCCACTGTCTGTATATCCTCTCTTCATTACTGGTGTACAACATTTAGTATCTAATGTCAATTGTACAGACAGTGATATAGAGAACTGCATTTCCATGAATAAGTTAACAGGACTATGTAACATTGAATACAGCCTCGCAGTTAATGACATAGAATTCAGCCTGTGCAATGTACATACTGAAGGGTGTGGATTCATCGGATGAACAACTCTAATATGATGATTCTCGTTCCTGCGAGAACAGTATATCTGATTTTTTATCGATGAAATATACCGTTACCAGAGAAACAAGCAATATGATGACGCCGATTGAGAGAATTATGGTCTGTAAAGCAAACAAGCAGAAGTGTTAACACGATATAATTCAATAACGCTTCAACTCATTTCATTGTCCCCTAAGAAAACGTAATATGAATGAAAATTGTCATTTGGATGATTTTTTGAGAGGGTGCTCGTCTAAGGCACCCACCCCTTCAAAAAACATGATTTTTGAAGTATCTGAGCACTAAGCCATACAAGTAAAAAAAGTGGTCGATAGGAATTGAGCATATGCATATTCAAAAATTAAAATTAAAGTTACACAATGGACACTAAAATAATTTTTTTTATAGAAACCGAAGGAATACCACCTACCTGCTGGGCTTTGCTTGAAACATAGAATGCCCTGGCCGAGTATCCAGTCCATCTACTCTCAGTCCATGTAGAATACTCAGTAGATGTCCAGTCTTCAAGGAGAAATGCAGGTGACAAAGCAGGACTTTCATAGGACATACTTCGAACACAAGAACCATTGCCATCAACACCAGAAATATAGCCATATGCATATACCTGCAATAAACAATATACTTTTCATAATGTAAAATTTTTATTGAAAGTCATTGTCATACATCTTTTTTTCATATTATTTTAAAAATCATAGATCATAAAATATAGACTCAAGAAAGAAATTGTATGAAAATAAAAAAAATTGCAGAAAAGGATAGCATTTATTGGA